CTCACTCACACACACACACACACACACACACACACACACACAGCTCGCGATCCACACGCAGCTGAGCCTCAGAAAATCAGCGACCACTAGATGGCACTAGCCCCAGTCACATGTGTGCATTCCATTGAGTAAGGTTTTATAAAGTTACCTAGTGTTTTCTTTGTTTCTTTTTGGTTTGGCTATTCTCCTCTACCCGTAGAAATATAATAAAGATGTTTCATTGAACTTGTTCTAACTTAACTTGTAAGATACATGTATAAAATGTATGCAGTACATGGATAATTGTGCGTGCATCTATTAATCATTTTGAGTCTAATATCATCACATACTATAGTCTCTCATGATTAATAACGTAGTTTTGTATGTGAGTTTTGTATGCTTTATTTGCAGGATCAACATGAAATCAAGAATCTTTTGAAAGTAAGTTAGCCAGTGAGTAATTTAACCTTATGTTAGGTTTTTAAAATGGCATTAGTAAAAACAAGCTTTTATATGCATTTTCAGGCTGTAGTAGGAGATGTACCCATTCAGGATGTGTGCTACAATCCAACCACAAGGAACCTGATGATTCGTCTTGCTGACACATGCGACAGGTACTGCTGGACATCCAGAGGCTGAATATAACAAGGAAGAACATTATATTGAGGATGGATTTGTATTTGTGGATATTAAATTAGATAAATAATGTCAAGAGAGAAACAGAAGACAATTCGCTCAAAGCAAAAAGAGAGAATTTATTGCAAATTTTATGTCAAGTACATTTTTAAAGCAACATCTAATCATGCAAGAATTAATAGTATGTTGGTAATATTGTCCAAAAAGGCAGTTTATTTTTGTATCCAAATCATCATGCAAGGTTGTTGACTGTTTGTTGTTGGCAGATCTGAACTTACATCTTTGAAGCCTGAAGCAGAATCCCTGCTGAAAAATGAATCTACTGGGAAAATTAAAGGTGTCATTGTTACAATGAAGGGAGCTCCGACTGCACAACCTGGATATGACTTCTATTCCCGTTACTTTTCTCCTTGGTTAGGGGTCCTTGAAGATCCAGTCTGTGGTAAGCTGAAATAATCACATCATTCTCAAAATGCAGCAGCCTACAATACATGTGGAGAAATCTGTAGAAGCTTCCGCATGTGAAAGTAAAGCCATGAATTCAAATAGGTTATAAATGAAAGTGCAATTTTAGAGGTCAACCGATGTATCGGTTTTGTCAATTGGCACCGATAGTTGTTTGCTGGAAGCAAGGCCGCTCCCTACCTCGCACCGGCCACACATCAGCTAAGGACGGCCCTGGCTGGAACAATCAGCTATTTGCAAAAATCCATGCCGATAGTTTTTCCTATAGGTTTTTTTTTTTTTTTATCAGTCGGGGCTAAAGCGGTTCCATGAACAACTATTTAAGTTCATGCAATCTTACTAATTTGATCCAGGTTCAATGAATCTAGATAATTTGATGTGCACGCTATTCTTAAGCAGCCTTTAATGTCAATCATGACTGAACGTGACGCGTCCGGTGTGACCTGACGGAATACCTGCGAGTGAGAGTTCTCCTAGACGTGGTGCTACGCTTTTGCCCCGAGTGACTGCCATATTTTGCTATTTTGATTAGATAATCATCAAGTGTTCTAGAATAGAAGCAGTTAAAGTGTGAGAGTATACATACAATATCCATATGCATGTAATTTCAATGCTATGGCCTTTGTGTGTAGATATTAAAGGGGTCATATGATGCTGCTAAAAAGAACATTATTTTGTGTATTTGGTGTAATGATATGTTTATGCGGTTTAAGGTTCAAAAAACACATTATTTTCCACATACTGTACATTATTGTTTCTCCTCTATGCCCCGCCTTTCTGAAACGTTCTGATTTTTACAAAGCTCATCTGTCTGAAAAGCGAGGTGTGCTCTGATTGGCCAGCTATCCAGCGCATTGTGATTGGCCGAATGCCTCAAGCGTGTGACGGAAATGTTACGCCCCTCACCGTATTGTGATGCCGTGTCCTGGCCGGAGCGACGAGACAAAAACATTAAAACCCACTATAAACGAGGCATTTGTTGCATCCAGTGGGGACAAATCTTTTTACGCGTTGCGTTGCATCACGCCGCGTAAACATAAAACCATGTCTGCATTTGTGATCGGAGAAATGACAAACTACAAACATTACTCTACACTGCTCAAAACTCGAGTTTGAATCGTCAGTGGCAAATTCTTTAAATATAAAAACCATACTTACAGACTGTGAGTCAGAACAGCCGGCATTGTAGTCTACTCTTCCAGGATCAGGAAACAGTCCTCCATAAAATCCGCTGGACACATCTGAATATTTGGGTTAAACTGTTCTGGAACAGTGTTGTAAATACAATTTAACCACTGATTTCTAGTCATGTCCTCTTTTGGAAGGCCAAACAAAGTAGTTTCTCTTTCACAATGAAACGGTGTCTCACACCGTCGCCTTGAGTGAGAGGAGGCCGGAGGCCTAGAGTGAGCCGTGGTCTAGAGTATGCATAGGCCGGCTTGAGTGAGCAGAGGTGGCGGGCTTGAGAACGGCACGGCCGGCGAATTCAACGAAGGAGCGTCCGGTGGGCTTGCGGCAACCACATGTGACGACCCCGGGCTGGACTTTGCTTCGTCCACGGTGAAAGCTGATTCGGCGATCGACAGCGCGAAGTTGATGTATTTCCTCAGCGACCAGCACGGATCAACTCCAGGCATGACGAAGCAGATATCGTCCTCTTGGAAGGCCAAACAAAGTAGTTTCGCTTTCACAACGAAACACAGCACCTTCACGACATGGTGGCGGCAGCAACAACAATACTACAGCAAGAATAAAAGTTACGCCTTCTTTCTTTGCGTGAACATTTGGGCGGTGTTATGCAAATCTTCCCACATAGTGACGTAGATATGGGGGGGCATGGTAGAACGAGCCGTTTAGGTAGGCGTGGCTGACTCGTAACTTTTATAAAGAATATCTCTTTGGATTTGAGACTTTAGTCTTTGCAACTTGACAGATCTTCTTTATGCACCAAGAGCTTGTAACACTCCAAAGAGAAAGGAAAAATTGAAATCGCATCATATGATCCCTTTAAAAGATGGCCATCTAGTTAGAGTATGTTAATTTCAACATCATCTAGTATGGCTCAGTACTGTTTTTTTTTTTATAGTGCAGCACTGTTTTAGTTTTCATTCAGTATCCATTTTTAAAGAACTATCGGTTGATTAATCGGTATCGGCCCGTGTGGTCCAGCCTAGCTATCGGTATTGGTAAAATCCACTATATGACTTTGTTTCTTGCTTTAAAAGACTAATACTTATTTCTCAAAGGGTCTGCGCATACAGTTCTTGCTGCCTACTGGTCTGAAAAGCTGAACAAAAAGAAAATGTTGGGTAAAGGCCTTTTCTTTCTTTTTTCCCCCTTCACTAAAGAATCAAAGGACCCATTAGTTCACATGAATGATTTAATTAAATAGTTTTCTCAAAAAACTTAAAAAATTTAAAATAAAATGCACAATAAAGTTCTATTCTCTCCTATTTGTTTTCCCAGCATACCAGTGCTCCAGTCGTGGGGGAGAGTTGGGGCTGGAGATCAGGGATGATGGTCGACTCAACATCATTGGTCAGGGACAGATCATTCTCCAGGGAACTCTTAAACTCTAGACAACCTGCAAAACCTTCTCACTGAATGTGTTAATAGCTTAATGGAAATAAGTCAATTTTCTTTATTAACCCTCCGGCCCTCTTCTGTCATTTTTGCGGGAAAATTTTTTTATTTTGAAATTTTAAAGATCTTAGCTTCATCAGAATGAGATAACACTTGGTGACTTTTGTCACATTAGCAATATGAACCATAGACTGTAAAAAAAAGATGGACGACGCATCTCCTATTCCTTCCACTATATAAAAGTGAAGCCAAAGCATCTCTGTATGGCCGCTGCCATCTTGAGTAAATGACGTCATTTGGAGCCAGAGTCTGCGCAGTAGAGATTTGTTTGGAGCCAGAGTCTGCGCAGTAGTGTCGTGAGGTGGAGCCAGGGACGGATTATGACTTTCAGAGGCCCCGGGGCCAATTATCTCCAAGGCCCCCCACCCCACCATACCATTTTTTCCCCGTTCTTTCCCTTAGCTGTGCATTCACAGTAACAGAAAGTGGAAGTTACGATCATGAATATTCAAACCGTTACTCCACGTCAAATGCCTACGCTACCCTGCGCTATAATAGCACATTGTACAGGGTTTACAGAATCAATATTGGACTAATACACTTTTCTGATATTTTTTCTAAAGTCTAATAGCTACAATGAATAATCAACAATACGGCAAATTGAGGCGTATGAAACACGTCTTTAATGAATTAACTGTCAAATATACACATACTTAATGCATCATGAATCAAAAAATTATTTGTCACTAAACAACTCTGTGACAAACATCACATGTAAAGTTTAAACATCAGATCATTACATATAAGAAACATTTTTTGCAGGTCCTGACAATTATACAAACCAGCATGGTTACAGAAACAATTTCTTACAGGAGTTTCTTTCTTGTCTTCCTCCTCGCAAAGTCATCCACCACTTTATCGAAACTGAGCTCTTTTAAGAGTTCAGACTCAATGGCCATGAGCGACAGAGAGTTGAGACGTTCTTGGCACATTCTCGTTCTCAGTTCGTTTTTAACTCGAGACATTTTAGAAAATGAGCGCTCTCCCTCGCAATTCGTAACTGGCAGTGTTAGAAAAACACTTAACGCAATGTACACGTTTGGAAAAGTTGATTGTAAATTCAGATTAATAATTGGTGTTGTTTACAGTCTGTCTGAAGATTCTAGTCATATAATTTAAAAACCAGCTGTCCTCCTCACAAAGATTTTATTAAACATGTTTAATATTTGCAACTGGTGGCGCCGGCGAATGTCTATACTCTGGAGATGCATTCCCTAGGCTGTCAAACATCATTCATCCTTATTTTTCTGATTTTGTCAAACACATCTTATTTTTAGTGTTTCTTTTGTAATAGGCTGTAAGTTAACATTGCAAGTTAATTGTTTTTAGGCTATTCATTTTGTTTTGCAGATGGAAAAAAGTGAAACAGAATTCTGTAAAAATCCAGAATAAGCTCTGATTTCTATTTTTTCCCCCCATAACATTAAGCATCCTTTTATTTCAACCTGGAGTCTAATAAATGTTAAACAGGAAGAATAAAAAGGTAGCTTTTCGGTAGCCGGATCGGTTTAAGATTCTAGTCATATAATTTAAAAACCAGCTGTCCTCCTCACAAAGATTTTATTAAACATGTTTAATATTTGCAACTGGTGGCGCCGGCGAATGTCTATACTCTGGAGATGCATTCCCTAGGCTGTCAAACATCATTCATCCTTATTTTTCTGATTTTGTCAAACACATCTTATTTTTAGTGTTTCTTTTGTAATAGGCTGTAAGTTAACATTGCAAGTTAATTGTTTTTAGGCTATTCATTTTGTTTTGCAGATGGAAAAAAGTGAAACAGAATTCTGTAAAAATCCAGAATAAGCTCTGATTTCTATTTTTTCCCCCCATAACATTAAGCATCCTTTTATTTCAACCTGGAGTCTAATAAATGTTAAACAGGAAGAATAAAAAGGTAGCTTTTCGGTAGCCGGATCGGTTTCCTACGTTGTTGTGATTTGATCTGAACGGAAACAGCGTATCCGTGTGACGCAGCTGACACAGAACAGCATACGTTGTTTACGTCCAGCGGATATTCTCCAAAATGGCACCAGGGTGATGCGGAGGAGACGAATCGTTGAATAAAGTCTTTTTTTTTTCTTTTGCGCACAAAAAGTATTCTCGTAGCTTCGCATAATTGCGGATGAACCACAGATGTCACATGGATTATTTTACAGATCTCCTTGCTACGTTTCTGGACTTGGGAACATTTCAGTTGTATTGCTGTCTAGCAGGGTCAGACAGCTCTCAGATTCCATCAAAAATATCTTAATTTGTGTTCCGAAGATGAACGAAGGTCTTACGGGTTTGGAACGACAAAAAAATTTACATTTTTGCCCAGAACTAACTAATTCATTTTTAAGGACTCATTTGACAATAACAGTCTACATTATTGTTTGATCATAGTAAAAAAAAAAAAAAACGGACTAAATGTTGCAATTAACTAAATTAATCAGGAAATGCTTGATGACACATTCACACAGAACGTTTTTACTTTGAAAAACGCGAGACACGAGGAGTGGAATGGGGGTAAAACGCGTTTTAGGTCAAGTTTTAAAGGGGTCATATGACGTTGTTTGTCATTTCTCCGATCACAAATGCAGACAGAGTTTTATGTTTACGCGGCTTAATGCAATGCAACGCGTAAAAAGACAGTATAAGTCATTATAATCAGTCATTATGTCCCCACTGGTAGCAACAAATGCCTCGTTTGTAATGGGTTTTAATGTTTTTGTCTCGTCGCTCCGGCCGGACACAGCATCAACAGTATGGTGAGGGGCGTAACATTTCCGTCTCACGCTTGAGGTATTCGGCCAATCACAACGCATTGGATAGCTGGCCAATCACAGCACATCTCGCTTTTTCAGACCGATGAGCTTTGTAAAAATCGAAGCGTTTCAAAAAGGCGGGGCATAGAGGAGAAACAATAATGTACAGTATGTTGAAAATAAAGTGTTTTTTTAACAGGTTGTGGCAGGTTGTGTTTGTATGTTATAATACATCGTGTACACTCACTAAACAAAGAGTGACAGTGACAGAGCAGAGCCAATTCATAAAAGAACAATATTTAAAAGCACACATCCAGTTTTGTATGAGTGAAGGAAATCCGCTTGGGAGTGGAGAGATTCGTCCTCGCGCACATGGATCACGTGCCTACACATGCCAGGATCCGCCACTGCCAGATGCAGTTAGAAATTTACTAAAAACAAGCCTATCGCAAGACATCTGGTAGGGGGGGCCAGCCAAATTTCAGGGGGGGCCGGTGCCACCCCTGGCCACCACGTAGACACGCCCCTGTCTATGCCCCCCTTATTCACATATCTGTATTTTTAATTTCACTATGTGTACTGTTGTTGTCTCAGAGTCTGCACTATAAGCTTTTTCTGTCACCAAAACAAATTCCTTGTGTGTGCAATGGCAATAAATCTCTTTCTGATTCTGACAAATAGTACTTATTCCTATACCCTTTACACAAAGAAAGAAACTCAAAGAGTGGTTCAAATAAATATAATTTGAAACCGTTTGGGACAGACAATGATTCTACACAGGGCCGTCGCTAGCGGGGCAAAAGGTGGTGACATTTCTAAGGGCCCCGGGCTTGAAGGGTCCCTCCTTCCGGAACACGTTTTCAAGGGGGCCCACAGCAACAACCTGCATTGGGCCCCGGATACCCCAGCTACAGCCCTGGTTCTATAAAAGATTTGGAAGCCTTCATATTTACAGGGCCCAATAGTAACAGGAGTGCCTGAGAGCCCTCACAGACCAAAAGCCTTGTTCAAGAGGCATTGTATAGGCTAAGGGACACATACAGTGGTGTGAAAAGGTTTTTGCCCCCTTCCTGTTTTTTAAATTTTTTGCATGTTTGTCACACTTAAAAGATTCAGATCATCAAACAAATTTTAATATTACACAAAGATAATGCAAGTAAATACATTTTGCATTTACTTGCATTATCTTTGTGTAATATTAAAATTTGTTTGATGATCTGAATCTTTTAAGTGTGACAAATATGCAAAAAAATAAAAAAACAGGAAGGGGGCAAAAACCTTTTCACACCACTGTATATTCAAGCATAAATAAACATATGTTTTCATTCTTAATTGGTTTTTCGTACCAAACTGGATCGTGCAACATTAAAGCCGAGGGCCCCCCCCGGGCTCTTGGTAGTCAAGGGCCCCTGGGCACTGGCCCCATTGGCCCGGTCAGTAATCCATCCCTGGGTGGAGCCGCGGTATCAAACTCTCGCCCAAACTCCCGCAGGCCTGTTTTTATAGCATCAAATTACTAGCTAAAATCAAACTGATCACAAAAACTAACAATTGAACATATATCAGCGTGATAACAACTATCTTAAATTACCAAAACCATCTTTCGGAAAATTGTATTGGAAGTGTAATTTATTTTTTTATTTTGACTCAAGTCCATTTCGTTTACATGGAGAGGGCGGGGTTTATGATCTGTACTGCAGCCAGCCACCAGGGGGCGATCAAAGAGCCTGCAGCTTCACTTTTCAGGACGTTGAGGCACACCCGATATGAACACACAAAAAAATCATGGACATGATTCGGATAACCTAAAAAAAATGAAGAAATTGTCTAAAAAAACAACAGGAATCCAAAAGCCTCGGTATAGGTTTCTAATACAAGAGGTTACGCAACATTACACAAGTTTTTATGTATTGGAAGTGTAATTTATTTTTTTATTTTGACTCAAGTCCATTTCGTTTACATGGAGAGGGCGGGGTTTATGATCTGTACTGCAGCCAGCCACCAGGGGGCGATCAAAGAGCCTGCAGCTTCACTTTTCAGGACGTTGAGGCACACCCGATATGAACACACAAAAAAATCATGGACATGATTCGGATAACCTAAAAAAAATGAAGAAATTGTCTAAAAAAACAACAGGAATCCAAA